TTAAAAGAGAGATAACAGAAATGCAAATATCATATGTTCGATATATTTTAAAAATGTTGTTGTCATATTTCTTAAATTTATAAGTTTCTGCAAAAGTTGTTAAAACTTCGGCCCACTTTATAATTTTTATTACTTTTACATCAATTTTATGAGTTATCTAATGAATGTATAATATATGTTGCTATTTCTTAGATTTTTTATATTATAAAGTAATTTTTTTTGGAATGAAAAAAAATAGATAATTTCACCCATTACAGCATATTTTGCTTCATTGACATAACATAATTTTGCAATAGAAATGTCTTTTCTATCTGCAAAATTAAATAAAAAACTAACTGCAGGTATTTTTCCAGTCATTACTTCCATTCCAATCAAGTGGATTGTACCTTCCAATTAATTGTGTTGAACTTTGACTATCTAGATGGTAGCTCCTTTATTATCACAGTTATCATGGAATGTTGTAACAGCAATAAGTACATCCCAATTTGAATAATATAATAAATTAAAATCATAAGGAACCTTCTAATTATTATAATGTGAAAAATCTTTTTTATCAATCCATGATGCAAAAAAGAGGAATAATGTGATTTGTTTCAATTAAGTTTGAATCAAGTTCAAATTTTAAATATATTTTCTTGATGGTGCTACACTGCATATTAGGGACTATATGAAATTCTAAATATTAATTCTTGTGATAAGATATCTTTATAAAAGTAAACTTTATAAAAGAAATCTTAGAGTTTAATATCATAAAATCAAATTAAGTGATAAATCTGCGTAATGATCTTTCAACTTTATAATTTCTTCTTTACTCCATTTTTTTTGGATCGCTCTAATTAATCTTCATATTTTGTTGAATAAAACACCACTTTAATAAACTCTCCCAAATTTCAATCTCATCCATATTTAGTCTCTCTTCAACAATAATTCTAATAAAGAGGCTTTTAAGTTGATAAATTTATCCGAATCAAATAAAATATTAGGTTCTTCACAGGTTCTTCACAAATTTTTCAAGACAAAAATTCAATAAATCTGTAAAAGTTTCAAAGTTTCATACTGATAAACTATATTTCGAATACTGGCAGAATTTTGATTTAATATGAGAAATTAATTTACCTGATATCAAATATATGGGGAGGGATATTTGGCTTTCTTAATATAAACTTTCCTATATTTTTTCCAGTCAAATTAGTAAATGCATATTATCTGATACATAGAAGGTTTGAATGAGTTTCTTCTCCAACATAAATAATAGCATTATATCTTATTTGAGTTTCAAAAAGTTTTTTTAATCATTAGATAACTCTTCCAAAAATTTTGAAGACATTTCCATTGCATAAAATATAAGAAGTTTTGGAATTCGGCCATGTGAAAATATATATATGATAAAAGTTTTTGTGAAATAGGGTTAAACTAAATTAAGAAAATGCCGTTTTAAGTATGAAAGTGTTAAAACATTGTAATTCAATCAAGATAAAATTATTATTAAAACCGTTTTTTTTATAAAAAACCTAAATAAACTTTTTTTTAAAAAAAAGGCTTTAACATTTTAAGTTTTAATTAATTTTATTATGGAAAGAAGTAGGAAAAGATGAAAAAAAAGCGTTTGTATTATATGAAGAAATAGTTAATGGTGGATATATTTGGGAGTAGAGACAAATTACTTATATAATTTGTAGAAAATTCTCTTAAGATTAAAACATTGTGACTAATAAAACAGACTACGATATAGGTACTCTAAAAAAAAGAAAAATAAAGATTTATGCAAAAAAATGATTAATATGGTTTGCATGATGAAATTTTTATATACAGTCTGATCTCGATGTAACGAACCCACGATGTAACGAACTCTCTCGACTTAGCCGAACTTTTTTTTAAAAACCAGTTTCATAGTATTTAAAAACATCTTGATATACCGAACATCATATAAACTTTGTATAACGTATACCGAACTTTTATTGATTCACCGCGTATTATGAAACAGTAAAAAAATTTTTAATATACCGAACTCAGTCACATGATTTTCCAATTTCGCCTGAATTTAATTAATGTCGGCCAGAATTAGAACCACTTAATTTTTGCCTAAATTAAGACATCTTTAATTCTGGCCGAAATTGGGATATTAATCACGTGATTTTCTTTATATACCGAACTTTCACTGAAAAACTTAGGGGTTCGGTATATAATAAAAATTGGCTTTACCGAACTCTACTATATACCAAACTTTTACTCCCAAACCGTGAGTTCGGTATATCGAGATTTGACTGTAAGAATATGACCGATTTTTGTGTTAAAGATTTTCTCAACAAGCAACTACAAATTTATTTACACAATTAAAATACTAAACTCTGTAAATATACAACAATTATTGAATGTATTTAATAGTTTATATTATAATTTTAGTTATCCATAGCGCAAGTTTTCTGTATTTACCTGTTATAAAAGAGTTTGTTAGTAGTGTGTTAAAATTTTATTTTGTAATAAAAGAAGATACATAGTCAATTCCTCCTCCAGAATTAACAGACTTTTATTAACAACAAAGATAGGGTGCCCATATTGAGATCCTGGGTTGGTTACCAACATGTCAATACAGTAATTCTCCTAATTAAACCAGGAATTCCTTTCTAAAATGACCCAAATTTCTTGATCTATTACTGAAGTGTTGTACTAAGGCTGTATTCGCTTAAATCAAACCAAAAAGTTCTTGGTCAGTTACTACCAAAGCTGGTGTACCAAGGCTGTATTCTCTTAAATTCAACAAAAGTTTTCTTGATCTACTACCAAAGTTATTGATACAGTAATTCTTCTAAATTGAAACAGGAATTCCTCGACTCGCTTAGGAGTTACCCTAACTTTGCAAAATAAAAAAAAACACACCCTTTCTTTCAAAAATTTCTGATATAAGTTCAATCTTTCTGCTTCCTCCAAAAAATGAGTAGACCAAGCATTATCAAGGCTTTTCCAGTTATCTGAGAATGTTGAAGTAACCATGACTCTATAATGTAAATTCAAAAATCCATAATATGATGAATTATTGCCTTGCCTTTTTAAATAAGAAATAAGAATTAGAAGGTCAAAAGATTGGTTGGTCAGTAGCTTTATATTACAAGTTAAAATATTATTCACAAGATTTACCATTTTGGCCAGGATAGTTTTTGGATGTGTTCATATTGTTAATTTCAAATAGGTAAATAAATTGTTGAGAAAGAAGTTTATAATAATGCAAATACTAGTTAAAGAGTTGATAAATACTAAATTGTTTAATAAGGAGTTAATAAATTGTTAAAGAGTAGATATTAATATATTGTTAAGAATAGAAAGAAATAAAGATTCAATAATATGAATCGTTAAAGAATAGAATTAAAGAATAAAAGAATATCATAATAAATTGTTAAAGAATAGAATTAAAGAATAAAAAGAATATAAATTGTTAAATAATAGAATTGAATAAAAAGAATAAATAATAAATAAAAAATAAAAGTATTAAATCGTATAAATTGTTAAGAAAGAATAAAGAAAAATAAAAATTAATGTTTGGTATCTTATATATAAAATAAGTAGTATGACTTGGATTGACAATGTCAATAATTATATTTAATTTATTATTTAGTATGATATTTCAAATGTAATGTAAAGTCACATTTTTTAGGAATATATAAATATGAATCAATATTAGTGATGCTGACTTAAGTGAAGCCGATAGTTTCAGTTCTTTATAGTTAAAATTAACTTTTGTAAAAATAACAATACATTCTGTATACTTTTTTGATGCACCATTAGATTTTACTGCCAATATTTCAACACGTAATAATTTGATATATCACAACTTATATTTAACTTATATTTTGATACACTGCAAAACTTTCAGCAAAAATGGACATTGACTGCGAAAACCACGCGGCTGTGACGCAGTAAAGCTACTCTGCGTAACCTGAAAATAATGTCACGAAATGGTCGGCATTACGCAACTTGACTGAAATTGAGTGTGACGCACATGTGACGGATAGTTTCAAGTCAGATACTTATGAAAAATGGAAACAAGGAAGGTGTGACGTCGGTGATGAAAATATCACGTGATTTTAGTGACATTTTTATCAGGTTACGCTGGGAAAATCAGCTACTCAAGTCCAACTCAACTTAGAAATTCTTAATGCGGAACAAGTTCTTACCCGTTATATTTTATCAATCCCGATACCACTGAAGAGATCATAAATCTTCCTTATTTTTTAATTAGCAAACGACTGAAATGCCTTTACAACAAATGATTAGGCAAATCCTTTAAATTGTCAATCAAATAATCAGGTCGCTATCAAACACTGGGAATATTTTGGCAGAAGGGCATAGTTTAAAAATTTCTGAAATAGATTAAAATCCGCTTGACTGGTTCGACTCCAAGATGGCCAGATATGATCCGTAAGATAATAATGGACATAAGATAACAAATTTTATATTTATGTACTCATTTATGATAGAATGGAAAAAAGTTTTCAATGAAATATAAGTTTTAAATTTATGGCATTATAATTAATAAAAAACAAAGCATATTTTTAGTTAATAGAATTAATAAATTAATAGAGCTATATGTGTCACTCAATTTTAATCTTCATCCGTTAGCAGACTTGCAAGCCAATCAAGCACGGCAGATCACCGGTTCTGACCACTAAACCTTCCTTGATTGGTTCGGAGAATTCTGTCCGCAATTTTACTTTATTTAATGTAGGATCTTCATTAAAAAATTTTTTTTTGCAGTTCTTTGTGTAAAAAGAATATTTTCGGGTGAAAATTTTATTTTACTTATAAAAAAAAATATGTCATATAATTTTGAATCTGAAGTACCCGAAGCGCTTGGACAGTTGCTCAAAACAGAAGAGGATTATAATGTTATAATTCATATTGGAGAAGAACCTAATTTTAAGGAATTTCATGCGCATTCTAATATTTTACGCTGTAGATCCGAATATTTTAATAAAATACTTTCCAGTGAAAATATTGAAAGAAAAGATGGAAAATATATAATTAAGAAATCAAATATTTATCCTCAAGCTTTTGAAATTATCCTTAAGTAAGTTATTACTTTATGTACAATAACTCAGTCTTTTTTTTTATTCGGTTATTTAATCTCGTATTTTTTTTTCTTAGGTACATTTATACTGGTAAATTTAATATTACTAATAAAGCCGGAACCGAACTTTTGGATTTTATGATTATTTCTGACGAAATGATGTTGAAAAAATTAACCAAACTTACCGAAGATTTTATCGTCAAAAATCAACAACAATTCTTACAAAATGATCCAGTTGGAATTCTTCAAATCGTATATTATTGTAAACCACTCATTAATTTGCAAGAATTTTGCTTGGAAAAAATTTGCTCTAAACCAGAAATTTTATTCAAATCTGATAAATTCATTCAACTACCTGCTCCTTTATTGGAAATTATTTTAAAACGTGATGACTTGAATTTAAAAGAAATTGAAATTTGGGAAAATTTAATTAAATGGGGATTAGCTCAAGAGAAATCACTTAATCAAGACGTCTCTAAATGGAGCAAAGATGATATTAATATACTTAAAAGGATTCTTTACAAATTTATTCCTTTAATTAGATTTTTTGAAATATCTACCGAAGATTATTATACTAAAGTTAAACCTTATGAAAAAATATTATCTAAAGAATTAAGAGACGATATTTTAAAATTTTATATGCTTCCTGGATACAAGCCAATATATACACCGAGACAACCAAAGTATCCAAAGCTTAACGTTAATACTGAATCAATTATAATTAATTCAAATCATGCTGCACTCTTTCCAAATTGGATTGATAGAAAAGGGGACGAGCATATTAATAAAGATATTCCTTATGAATTTAAACTTTTATATAGGGCTAGCAAAGATGGTAATACAGCTGCATCATTTCATACTAAATGTGATAATAAGGGAGCTACTGTAGTTGTAGTGAAAATTTCGAATTCAGAGCAAATAGTTGGAGGATATAATCCACTTTTTTTGGATTCAAGCAATAGTTGTAAATCAACAAAAGACAGTTTTATATTTTCATTTGCAGATAAAAATAACCTTAAAAGCGCAAATGTAGTTTATAGTAAAACCGGTGATAAATCTATTCAATGTAATTCATCCTTTGGTCCAATATTTGGTGTTGATTTATATATACATTACGGCGATACTTATAATACCTGTAATACCTGGACAAGTGATGTATATTCATATCCTACACTTAATTTACCAAATTCATTTAAAGCAGATGATTATGAAGTGTTTCAAGTTATTAAAAAATAACTGGGTTAATTTGTATGTACTATATTATATATTATTGTATTTAACGAATTATTTATATGATTTGAAAAGTTCTTGATACGATATATTTTTACTTATCTCTATGAATTTAATCAATTTCATAATTCGATTCTTCAAGTTGTAATGGCACTAATCAATTAGGAGCTCGCTTTGAAGAATTTTGTCACAAATTTTATACTTGCCGAAATTCTGTATGTATAGAATTATTTGAATCACGATGGGTACAATTAATTTCTCAATATCCTGATTAAGTTATGATATTAATAAATTTTAGAGTATGTATTAATTCACATACCATTTTTCGAGTCATTAAGATAATGATTCGCGATCCGAAAGCTATTTAAATGATCGATAAAGACTTGTTTTCCCGCATCTTCTTTTTAATTTATTAATTTAAAAAAAAGTGTCATATCGATTTAATACCTAACTAATTACCTTTTAATTAATTTATAAAATTGTGCAATTTATGAATTCGTAATTACAAAAATCTAAAGTTAAAAAGGTTAAAAGAATTTTTGATAGGTTGAATACTTGGAATATTTCACTATATAAGAATTCATTTTATTCTATAAAATTTCAAGAAAAGTAATGAAGTTTTTCCAAGTAATAAAAGTAATAAATAATTACAAAATAAATTAGATAATGTATATATATTTTTAACGAGATATTTTAAGTGTATTACCTTGATTTTTCTTGAAACAAAAAATATAATATAACCATGCTTGAGGTAAAGATTCCTCTTAGGTTAAAAGACTGTTGTTCAAATAGTTTCGAAAAGCGGGAATGCTTTATGGCCCAGTAATCATTTAGTCATTAAAAAATTACCGTATATATGATGAGTAGTGAGCTTCACATATTATAATTATACAACGTAAACTTTCAGTACAATAAAAACAAAAAATTGATAAACCTATCGTGCCAAGATTAATTCTACGGTTGTTCGAAATTTTTCGATTCAAATTTAAAAGTCGCAGCTGATCTTGCAGATCGCTTCTGCGTTACAGTCTATCCGGTTTTTATTCTGGTCACATAATCCTAACATTAACTTAATTTGTCGTCTAATTGCTCACAGAAAAATATTTACGTGATACACAATTTAAATCAATAAGGGGTGTAAATAAATAATATTTTTTTAATCTCTACTTTGTCTAATAACACAAAAAATATTTCACAAAATATATTTTTCTTTTTTTCATAATGAATACTTATCAAGAAGATATAACTGATGATTATCAACAATACTCCGAACAAGATTATAATGTTACAATTTATGCTGGAGAAGAGCCTAACATTACAGAATTTCATGCTCATTCAATTATTTTACGATGTCGATCTCAATACTTTCGAACAGCACTTTCGTCCAATTGGGCAGAGAAAGAAAATGGAATGTATATTCTAAGAAAACCAAATATTTCGGGAAAAATTTTTCAAATTATTCTTAGGTATCATCATTTTTTTTTATCGCTGTTACAATAAATTATATATGTTTTTTTTTTTGCTTACGTGAATTTTTTTTCCTCTAAAAAAAAAAGATACATTTATAGTGGAATGGTAAATTTTAATAAATTTGAAAAAATAGAATATTTAGAATTTTTAAAAGCAACAGATGAACTTGCATTTGATAAAATAAGAGATTATTGTATCAAAATAATTTGTCAAGAAACGGAAATTTTATTTGAAATCGAAAGATTTTCAACTATGCCTCCACGTATATTAGAATTATTACTTCAACAAGATAAACTTGAATTAGAAGAAATTGATATTTGGGGTTATCTTATTAGATGGACTTATGCTCAAAATCCTACTATTGAATTTGAACCTTCCAAATGGACCGAAAATGATATTGAAATGATGAAAGATACGATAGAAAATTTAATTCCATTAATTAGATTTGATAATATTTCTTATAAAGATTATTTTGAAAAGATAAACCCTTATGAAAAATTATTATCAAAAAAGATTTTAAGATATTATTCCAATTTAAATTCAGAATCAAGTGAACTTGACTCTTCTATTATCACACAAAAAGATCTTTTTTATTCATTATTTTTAAATTGGATCAATAAAAAAGATAATAATCAAAAATCAAGAAAATTTCTTCAATATAATTTCAAACTTTTATTACGTGGAAGTAGGGATGGATTTGATGGTAATGCATTCCATTATAGATGTGATAATAAAGGAGCAACAATTATAATAGCGAAAATTAAAGATTCTAAACAATTAGTTGGTGGTTATAATCCATTAGATTGGAAAGGAAGGAATAGTAAATCGACAACTGATAGTTTTATATTTTTATTTGATGATCATAAAGATGTTAATTCAGGTAAAATTGGTAGAGTAATTCATACAAAGCATGCTATTAGGTGTTATAATAATTGGGGTCCTATATTTGGTGCTTATAATTCTCTTGCTATGAGTAATAATTTAGCCATGAATCAAAATGGTGAATGGAGTTCAATTCCACCAATTCCTTCTTCTTATCCTGATTTGAATATTCCAAATAAGTTTGAAATTGATGATTATGAAGTATTTCAAGTAATTAAAAAATGATATTCCACGAATCATACGTTGAAATTCTTTATCATCAATGTAATTAGAGGCACAAAATATATATGTATCTTCATTTTGGTTGAAAAATAATTCTTATAGATCTTTCTTTTAATATCTCATGTTAAATACTAGAGTTGAATGTACTTCATATTTTTTTTTTTTTACATAAAATATAACCGTATTGAACATTTTACTAGATCCTTTAGTTCTCTGAAATATGTTTTCATCTATCGGTGATATGTAACGTATTTTTATTGCGACTTGATTTTTTTCCGCATATACTGTAAACACTGATAAAATATTGTATTCAGCCAATTAAAAGAAATTAATATTTTGTAAATTTTATGTCATTAGATTGTTTAACCACGTTAACCACGTATATAGCATCGACGAAAAAACATTTCTTTTTTTTTTTACACATACAAAATATTTTTCTGATATAATTCAAAATTCGGTTAGAATATCGTATTCTCAAATTCTAATGTAATGATATGTCGGAATCCGTATAAAAATCTATAATAAAAATATCATTATCAGCTGCGGTGATGGTCACCGTACCAGCATTATGATGTACTTTCGACCAGAATTAAAAAACTAATAGGCATTACATCATAATTTCACCACCGGTGACCATCACCACATGTGATGTTTAACAATACCATTTTTAATATACATCGGTAATATTGAATATCGGGTATATCAAAATCTGACTATATATTAAATCCATTTTTTATTTTATATTTGGATAAAGAAAGAACAATTTATAAATATTACTTTCGTGATACGAAATAAAAAAAAAATAAAATAAAAATATGAAGTTACAATATTTATCTAGTAAACAATTTTATTTAATCGAAAACACCATATAAAATAAAAGCTCGACATTAATGTAAAAAAATAAAAAATTTTCATCTTAATATCCCTATAGCTAATACTTCAATCATTTTCGTACAGCACTCTTTTTTAATCGAACGAAAAAAGAATAGAATTCCTTACTTTCGACTTCCTTTATTTACATTATACCTAACTACTCCATCCTAAGAAATATTTAAGAATTACTTACAATAGTTGCTCGAAATAATTCGCCAAGAAACATAAATACATTTCCCACTGATATTTCGATAGAACCATTAATTAAATTTGATGATAACTATTAATACTATAAAATTGAGACCACTCGGCATAAGTCCATAACACAATCAACACACCCTAATCCCTATCATATATTAATCTCGTTGATTAACCCATAATAATACTAATTAATACCAACCTTTTTGAAATATATAATTAATTGATATATTTTTATTTTACTTTATATTCATTTTCTTTTTTCTTGAATAAAAAGTATAATCGCAATTACAGTCTTTATAATTCATAACAGATGTAAATAAATAAAGACATACATAAAGAATAATATTTTTGTAAATTTGAAAAAAAAAAAAAAAGATTTCGTGACTTTGTTGGATTCCAACCAAAATGCCGTATAAATCTTAATCGGCGACCTACAGTAGGCTTATCTAACATTCTCAGCCACTAGCGGATGATATCGTAAATTAAAAATATTTATTTCATTTTTTACTGCGTCTTCATATAAAGATTACCTAAAAACAATGCCAAAAATTCCGTTTTTTTTTTTTTAAAAAAAAAAAAATTAAGTACGAAAATAGACAAATTAACTTTTTTAAGGAAATGAATGTTTTTGTCACCAGACCTTGTGAATCGGTTCACAATAATCAACATAAATTCAAATAAATTCAGGATTGAAAGAATTTTAGAAATGATAGCCCTCTTTCAAATACGCTTATCCCAGCGATTCCTAATAAAATAATGAATTTATCCAACAAAGAAAATTTTCGAAACGTCTACTTTACAATAAATTCCTCCTTTCAAACAGAAATTCAATAAAGAAACCTTTAACATGTCTACTTTACAACAAAATCCTCCTTTCTTGATTGAAGAAATAAAAAATTGGAGTCCAGAGCAAGTCATCAAGTTTTTAGAATCAAAGAAAGGCGAGTTGTCTCTTAATGAAAACCACATTAAAATTATTGAAAATGAAGAGATTTCTGGTTTGGCCTTACTCTCGTTAACTAAAGAAGATCTCAGAAGTTTCGGTTTGAAAGGAGGACCATCAATAGTAATTCTAGAACTGATTAAGAATCTCAAAAGTGAAGAACAAACTTCAAGTGTTCAAGAAGTACGGTTAAATGCATTAGAAGATAAGTTAACATCGGTTCAAGAGCTACTCCAAAAATCTGGTGAGTACTCGACTTAAGTAATTTCATATATTATAATAAAATATTTAATATTCATGTTGATAGAAAATTATTCGTTTTATACAAATGGATTTAATTATATGTTCAAAGTAAATTATTATATCTAACTCTTCATATTTTTACTTTCCTGAAAATATTAACCTTATCAATTCATGTCTATTAGTAATCCAACAGCAAGTTGAACAATTCAATCCTACTCAAGGAAAAGGAAAAAAAAGGGTAGTAGAACAAGAACAAGGGTATGAAAATCCGACAAAGGTTCTAAAAATTTCTAGCACTACAAATGTGAAGTCAACATTAAAAAGTAGTGAAATGGATGTGGATGATACGAATAATAAGGTATGTCTTAAAATCGATGTAATTAATATCTTTGATCCTGATGTCTCAATTTCATAAGTTTCATCATATATTTCTTGTTTGAAAGGTCAACGCAAACATTCTATCATCAAATGAGGATATATGTAGTCATCATAAAGAGTTTGCATACAATTGCCTTGCTAAAGGAGATATTAATTATTTGATTAATCTTATCAAAAGGCATTTCCAATCCAGGTCAATGATGTCATTGAAATCTATGAATGAGGCCGTATTTCAAGCCGTTTTAGAAATGCTTCTTCCTTTAATATTTCGTGTTCCTGAACTCCGTCTCATAGTTGATGGGACAAAGCAAAAGTATAATGGACGCTTTGGTTTTGTTGATATCTTTATCCCTGGTGGAAAGGATAATCCGAGCATCGTTCTGGAATTAAAATATATTAAATTAACAGGATTGAAAAGCGGAAGTAAAGGACGTTTTACAAAATCTCTCAAAACAACCGAGTTGTATGAGTTGGATAAAAACCTTGAAGAGGAGGATGATGATACAGTGCTAGATAGAAAATACATGTCAAAAAATTCAAGAACGATAACAACAGTAAGAGAAATCATGAACAATGGTATCCAACAGTTGCAAAACTATATTAGAATAATTACAAGAGGTCCAGTTAAAGGATATGTTGATTCCGGAATTTTGGACCCACGAGTTGGCGTTACTGAAACTATGAAAGATTCAGGACAACTTATGGGATATGTTATTATGTCTGTTGGTACTCGTCGAATGTTGGTTCGGTCTTATGGCCCAATTAAAACAGATATATGTTATTTTAGTGTGCCAAAATAGAATTTAAATGTTATCTTTTACATAAATATGGAAGTATTTAACTGACAGATAGATGTTAGTAACAAAAAATGACTACGCGAGAGTACGTAGTAAGATTATTTTTATATTATTTTACACTTTTTTTATTATATAGAAATGTTACGAATGATAATAAATTATAATTTATTTAATACAAAATAAATTGTTACATGTGAATTATACAGCATTAACTTTTGCTTTTCGTATTTATAATAGTTACTTTTTAAATTCGAAATATTTAGCATGATATTATCATACTAGAAAATATTTTAAATTCACGCCACGGTTCCAGTGTAAATATTTTATCAATTATTATTATGAAGATATCCACCTATAAATTACAATTCTCACGAATTTTATTTATTTCTGCTGTAAATACCGCGTAATATTATTCTTTCGAACCAATATTATATGAACCATTGATATAATATATAAAGTTAGTTTATCATCAGAAAAACAAAGCAATGCAAATTTACAATAAAGTGTTGTCACGTATTAACTGATTAGGGTAAACTATGAATTGATATTACAATCATTTTATACCATTTTTGCTATTGAATTATTTCTATCCCTAATTAAGAAGAATTACAATAAATTAAATAATTGTGTCACCAGACTAATTTATTTTTTTTATAAAGCCGGTAATCCCGCAGTAATTATTTCTTGTTTTCCTGTTTTAGTAATAGCATAATGATCATTGTAAAAAAATATAAGATCTACAGTTTTTTTTACCCCTGCAGATTTAATTGTTCATTAACCACCTTTGGTTTAGTAATTTCAACAAAGAAAAGTTTTTTTTTTCGTATTTTTTTTTTATTTTTTATTGTTTTTTTGATTTATCAAGAAATGTCTTCAAAATTTTGGGCAGAGTTATCCAATGATTATGAAAAACTTTTTGAAACGGAATTAGGATATGATGTAATTATTTATGCTGGAGAAGAACCAAACGTTAAAGAGATTCACGCTCATTCAAATATTTTATGTATTAGATCTCAATATTTTCGTACCGCATTTTCTAGTGAATGGGCCGAAAAGTATGACGGGAAATTTATTTTCAAAAAACCAAATATTTCACCAAAATTATTTGACATCATTCTTAGGTAAAGTAATAAATATCTAATATATTAAATTATTATTATTATAAAAAATATAAAAATTTTAATTTTTCTGTATTTAATATTTTTCTGTATTTAATAAAAAAAAAAATAATTTATTTTTTTAATTATTTGATTCACTAATTAATTTTTAGATTCATTTATTGTGGAAATATTGAATTAAAAAATTTACAAGGATCAGAAGTCTTGAAATTATTAATTGCAGTGGATGAACTTAATTTACAACAATTACTTTCTTATATTCAAAGATATTTGATTAAACATCAAACTGAATTTTTACAACAAAATCCAACTGGTATTCTTGAAATCATTTATCAACATGAAACTTTTACTGATTTATGGAATTTTTGTCTTGAAAAAATTTGTGAAGAACCTAAAATTTTATTTAATTCAAATAAATTTATTGATTTAAAGGCTTCATTATTAGAATTGTTGATAAAACGAGATGATTTAAATATGGATGAAATTGAGATTTGGGAAAGTTTATTGAAATGGTGTTTTGCTCAACAAAATATAATAAATGATCCAACAAAATGGAGTAAAGAGGATATTACAAAGATTGAGAAGGAATTACACAAATTTATTCCTTTAGTTCGATTTTATGATATTAAACCTAAAGATTTCTTTTACAAGGTATATAATTATAAAGAAATTTTACCAAAAAATTTAATTCATGATCTTTTAGAATTTTACATAGTTCCTGATATGAAACCTAAAAATACCATTCCACCTTCAAGAAAACCTAAACTTGATTCAACATTAATTGAATCAAAACATATATCCGTTTTTGCATCATGGATTGATAAAAAAGATTCTTTACATTATAACAAAAAATGTATTCCTTATGAATTCAAGTTATTATATAATTCAAATAGAGATGGATTTGATGTTAAATCATTTCATAAAAATTGTGATAATAAAGGAGCTACTATTTGGATAGCAAAAATTCAAGATTCAACAAAATTAATTGGAGGTTATAACCCACTTGATTGGGGTGGAAATTGTGGTCGAAAAAACACTACAGATAGTTTTTTATTTAATTTTATCGATGGAAATAATATTTCTACAGCAAAATTAGGTTATGTTAATAATGCAAGTATGGCCGTTTATTGTGGTAATAATTATGGACCAGAGTTAGGTAGTTTAAGCTGTCCTGATTCTAATAATTGGACTTATAATTATAGTAGAGATTATTATCCTAATATAGATATACCAGCAAATTTTATAGTTGAGGAATATGAAGTATTTCAAGTAATTAAGAAATAACAAAATCATATATAGTGAGTATATCCTTATGATTAACAAGTACCTTGTGATGAATAGAGAGGATGACGATTGCAATTGTTGCATTGTATAGATTCATAACGTTATTACTTCATTATTCCAGATTTTAATTAAAATGTTATGAAGAAATGACTGAAATTTATTTTAACTCGCTGACAAAATTTACAAATTTTTTGATGATGCACCCGTTCTAACATTCCGTTCCTCTTTGAACAAATTTACTCTTATTGATGAAATGAAAGTGTTTAGATTTTGGGAAGATAAAAAATAATTTTCAATATGTTCGATACTCTAAAAAAAGGAAATAAAATATCATAACAGAAAAGTATTATAATAAAAAAAAAATTAAATAATTCTACGTTTCCCAGATTTACGATATCAAGATTTAATTATTCACTCTACATGCATAAACTTCAATCAAATAATAAGGAAAATGGCATTAATATTATCTTATCTACAATTGAGAGATAACCATTTCTAAAGATTAAAGAGAAATTTGGGTATTACTTAAATTCAGTTTTTTATCAAAGTCAGACATTTTTTTTGAATTTTTTTTTTTTTATGTACACGTTTCACATTTTTTCGCAACTCAAATTTCAAGTAAGGGATCGTGAAAATTAATTCAAATGTAAATTATTATTTAATTATAAAGAACCCTAATTGTAACGAAAACAAAAGTATTATAAAATTATAAAATCACTTTTTTTTAAAAAAAGAAAATTATTTCTGTGGCACCCCTATAAGGGAACAATTATCTAAGTTGCGCAGTTGAACAACTTTACCATAATGGCGAACACACTGCGTATATTAAATATTGAGTTTGTTATTATCCTATAAAATTAAATACCGATGTATGAGTAACACGGGTCACTGTAACGATTAATTAGCAAAAGGGAATTTTAAATAGTCTATCAAGAAAATGAATAGGAATTAAGGAATTTAACGTCACCCTTATTAGGGACCGCCAATCAGATACTAACCACCCCACTTAACATACTTTCCTCCAACCTCCAATAAAGTATGCGTATGAGGATCCTTATCATGGTCCTGCCATGTAAGAGAAGATTTTGCGGCACCCTCATTATAATTTAACCATTAAATTATAATGATTCGGTATCCTGAGATGACGCATGTGTTATCAGTAAGGAACAGGTCTCTTACCTTATTTTATTTCACCTTTATCGAATCTTGTAAATCTTATACAAAGATAATTCACAGTTGTAGTGTGTTTAGAATTCAAAGGTCATTTTTCGAATCCAAAGTTGTACCCACAAATAAAACTGAACTTTCGTGAATGTTCTCTTTTGAAGCAATAAGAACCGATTTAAGAAATTCTCTTGTTACATTTCTTTCCACTCAGATCCCTATAAATTAGCATAAAAGCTTATGTTAGTTCTAGCTCATTCACTTTAGGCCATAATAGTGAATACCAAAATGGTATTGTAAACAGTGACCATTTTGACAAGTGGTTGTACACCATAACCCAACTACCTTAGGGATAAGCATACATTTCGGGAGTGACTATATATATGGTATCCTTCGCTACTATCTATGTCCAATATTATGACAGGTCATAATATTGGACACCAAAATGGTATTGTAAACAGTGACCATTTTGACAAGTAGTCATACGCCATAACCCAATTACCTTAGGGATAAGTGTACACTTCGGGAGTGACTATATATATCATGGTATCCTTCACCACCATCTATATTCTCTATTACGACCATCAGATCCTTTGCAAGAGTGACTCCAGAGCACTTGTCAGACCAACTACTATATCTTCAAGACGGTGAATTTGAACCTGATGACTTATATTCAGGTACCTTAACCAAGGCTCCACTTTCAAAGATATAACCTTAGGGTGGGTTCTCGTACGATGGGCCCCAGTCATCTATTTGCAACCCTTTAAAGCCGTTCGGTCAGCCCTCATAAACCTTCGCACGTTGCTTTCGCGGTGTGCAGTCAAGGATTATGGCCAGTGGGTGATAGAATATTCTTTACCCACCTTTTTAAAAATTCCAGTAAACGTATTCTAATTATCTTTTGACTTCTAAGGTCCGTTTTCTACTCAAAAGATTCTTGTATGGAAACATTTTCTCTAGGTAAAGATATTACATAGGAAAAGAAAAAGAATCCATTTTAAATACAGGAGAAGTGGCAGAAGCATGGAAAACAATTGCAATAGAAAAGAAGAGATCTCTCTTCCTTCTCACCTCTTACTTTTTTCTTCCTACTCTTGTTGTCTCTCTTTCACATACTTCCTTTCCTCTCTTTGAAAATAATTTTTTTTCCCTGTAGAATTACTCACTTACAATTTTTCTTCTTCCTAAACTCATACGTGGATGCCTTAAACTTTGCAAGACTTGGAACTAACGTCGTACGTTTAACGTTCTCATATTTTTACATATGTATATTATTAAGCGCGTAAAATATTCAAGTAATGTTTTACATATGTATATTATTATGCGCGTAAAATATTCAAGTAATGTTTTCACATATATATATATTATTAAGCGCGCAAGTAGTGTTTTTACAACTCTGATATGTATATTAAGCGCGTAAAATATTCAAGTAGTGTTTTGTATAAGAAATATACGAAAGTTTAGGATAGTGTTTTGTATAAGAAATATGCGAAAGTTTAGGTTTAGGATGAAAAAATACTGTCTTTTTATAATATTTAGTTGTACAAACTTTGTGATACAATATAGACAATAATAATTTTGCATATGCAATGACTCCAATGACTCATTGCAAAACTTTTCGGTATAATTTGATATAACGATATTTTTTCAATGATCTCCCAATATATCATTATATCGGAGTTTCAACACACGTGTAATAATCATGAAAATCATGAAAAAGTTTGCTATTACAGATATAATCAATATAAAGTTAAATTATTATAATTATTATCTATTATGAGTACATCTTGTCGAAATCAATGATCTTATTTTATGATAATCACGATCACACCGTAATAGTAGATATTAGTAGGTAAAATGTTGGAAAAATTATTTAAATATTCCTACAAATAATTTTGGTTTGTTCAATTACAGAAGAGGTACCGTACTTTGTCGTTATTTAGATAGCACTATTTTCAGTTTCAATATAGAGGTGTTAAACAGAATGTATATTATTTTTTAATTTTCGACCTTCTAATTGGTGATGTAGCAATCATATAATAATCAAATTTGGCTCATTGAAATTATCTCAACGAGAGGAGTATTATTAACTTCATTTTTTGAATGATTGTAGCTGAGATCACTAAAAACTGCTTATTTTTATTTGTTATATATAAATTAAAATATAGATTCTGGTGCGTCGTTAAAGCACGATATTATCAAAGAATATAAATAATTTGAAATTATTTGATCTTTCTGATTATAAAAAAATTTGACAATTTTTATTGCTAATATAATGCATCATGCGTTTCAAAGAATATTTTATGGTAAAAATATTTTTAAGATTATCGTTAAAAAAAAAACTAACTTAGTTTACAATTATACATTTAATTTATAAACAACTTCATTTTAAGTCCAAATAATTATTCTATTTAAACTAACTGAATCACTTGAAACACTTCAATATCATTAGCAACAAAATTTCTTAGAATCTTAATATAAGGATAAGAATTTGTATATGAACTACATTTACCATTATTATCTATCAATATATCACTACCACCGCCACATTTTGCGCCAAATTGTAATATATCGTTAGAACATCACACCGCACATGTCTGATTTTTCACTCTATCAATTTTACCTGAATTGATACTATAGTCATTAAATAAAAATATAAAACTATTTAATGTCTTTCCAAATTGAATCTCATATTCCAATCAATTGGATTATAACCTCAAACTATTTGACTAGAATTTTTAATTATAATAACTAAAATATTTGCTCCTTTGTCATACCATCATCTCTACTAGCACGATAGAGTAAATTAAATTTATATGGATTATTTTTTATTGAAACATTTTTCTTACTAATCCAATTGGCAAATAAGAACAAATGTCGTGAATTAATGAAACAGGATCAACACTGCAGTGATAGCAAATGACTAGGTCATTTGCCCATTTTGAGATGACCTCCGAATGACCTTCGAATGACCTAATCATTTAGGTCATTTGTCATTTGAGTCATTTAAAATTAATGCTTTATAATTCAGGCCAAGTTAATGATGCCGGCCAGAATTATGAACTTCTAATATCATGTGAAAATTTTATCCATGAAATAGTGAAATTGTATGAATAGTTCTGGCCAGAATTTTTTAAATGACTAGGTCATTTGTCATTTAATGTTGAAATGACCCAAATGACACGTGACCAGTCATTTGAGTCATTTGAGGTCATTTGGGTCACTGGCCAACACTGATCAACAGTGCCACAAACAATTTTAATCTAGGAGGTTGTATGTCAACATTCAATCTCTTGATTGGAACCATATGAATCTTGTACTTTATATACCAGTTGATTACTAGATAATAATTCTTTGTATGGTAATACTTTATAAAAAAGTCTACGGAAGAAATATCATAAAATCTCCTTTAAACACTACTAATTCTAATATAATTTATAATTAAAGGAATAAATCCATGAAGGGTTCTCTCCATCAGTGTGATTTGTTCTTTGTTCCATTTAGTAACATCTTGTGAATTATTAGAATGTTGCGCTAATCCCATTTCAGTAAATTATTCCATATATCAATTTCATCTGATAATAGATCATCTCGTTTTAAAAGTAATTCCATTATAGGTGCTTTTAAACTAATAAATTCATCAGAATTAAAGAATATTTCAGGATTTTCACAGATAATCAAGACCAACATCATAAAGCTCTGAAGCTAATTCATGTTGATAATTATTTTCAAGAATTTCTACCGGATTTTGTTGTATAAAATCGTATTGGTGTTTATTGTTTAATCAAGTAATTTTTAATGCAAATAATTAACGATTCAATATTAAACATATCTACATTATTCAAATGTGTTAATGTGTCAAAATCTTGTAATCTTGTTAAATCGATTTTTCCACAATAAAAATATCTTAGAATTATTTTAGATAATTAAAAGGTATATCAGGATTTCTTAAAATAAATTTCATGTATCTCTTTAACTTTTTCATTTGACTAGAATAGATTATAACGTCATATCCCTCGCCAGTTTTTAAATTTCAAAATCATTAATAATATCTTGCCAATTTTCGTAAGACATTTTCTTTTTTCAACAAACTCATGAGAAACAAATACAGATCGACAAAATCTGAATATTTTAAAAAAAGTGTTAAATGACTGTAATTACACGTGAATATTGATAAACGTGATTTTATTGGTAAAATCATAACCAGGCGAGTAATTGTGTAACGTATAACGTATAATATGCTGCGTCAAATATATTATGGATTATTATTATAGAATTATGTCATCTTTATAGTTAAACCATAGATTAGAATCATGATTTACATCATAATTATGTAATTTAGCCTATAAGAACATATAGTTATCATTGATTTCATTGATTTTAGAAATTATCGTACATTTTATCCTATCCGCAAATAAGATATCCGCAGAACTAATCAGATGAATATCCGAATCGAATCCTTTTTTTTAAAGAAGGGTTAGAAGGTATTGTACTAACATTCACTTTCTCTTTTTTACTCGAGTTTTGTTTTTTGGACTACAACTTTTGAAGCTATATTCCGTTTCTTTTCAATTTTTTCTTTATAAGTTTTAGCTTCTCTTGGATAGTTGAATGGAAAGTTTCAAAAATGATATACTCTGAAACTATTATTTTTTTTATTCAAAAATGTTATACTTACTATGTCCTTTCTTTTTTTATAAGTATCATGCTTCGATAGGTGAAAAAAGGTAAGTTTTGAAGTGATTTTTATTTAAAAAAGGAATGTTCTTTGGTGAGTCTAGACTATTACAGTAATAAGCTTCAAAGGTAATAATATCAAATTCCTTTTATTATTAATAGTTGAAATAAAATAATTTATTAATAATTCTTTATGTTTTCTTATAAGTTCTGATTCAGATGGTTTCTCTTGGAATGGATGTAAGTATATTTTATAAATTTTATTTAATAAGAAATTTTAATTTAAAATTCGCGATTTATTTTATTTATTTATTTCTTTTTTTAATGATATAATAACATTTAGAAGAACATGATTGATTGGAGATTCTATGATCTAAAGAAATATGTTTTCAAAATTTATCATAGACTATCCTTTAAAATATAGGTGGACTTAAAAATTATTTAAATTATATAATTATATTTATTATACAAATTTTGTCTTTATTTAGATTATTTAAACACTAAGAATGTTTTGCATCTTAAAATCATATCGAATCAATGTAAAATTTATTCTGTCAGGAATTAATTTGTATATTATATTAGTAAATTAATTTAATATTATTTTAAACCCTACAACTTAGAATAATACTAAAAATATGTATGATTTTAAAAGAATTAAAATAAGAATTTTAAATTGTAATTATTACCCTTTTACTTTTCTCAGTAACTACAAAGTTTTCAAAAGTGGCTTAGATATGATAGATAAAAATTTGAAAATATTTTTCGTTATTATACTATACGCAAAATATTTCTCATTAATAATTTACGATCGAATAACGTTCGTTCGTTTTCTCATTATGTTTTGTGTTTATTTGATGCTTAAAGAGACATTTTACGGATCATTATTTAAATCTTTATGATTATGATAATTGGGCTAAAAATTAAGTCAAATATTTATATGAATTGTTTTTTTTATCATATGGATTGTAATTCGATATAATAGAATACAGATTTGGAATGTTTCGGATTCTCTGTATTCTTTTTCAAGTAGACGAAAGAATTTAAACATTTTTTATCTAACTTTCATTTGAAACTTTATTTTACTCTTTTGAACACTATTCACTCCCGAATTCTTAACAATACTACAATAAAACATGTGATTTTAGAATAAAAAAATTATAAAGCAACTTTATTTATAAAAATGAATGTTCATATATAATATTTTTTTTTGTTACTACTACTAAACAATTAATCAGTTTCCTTTATATAATCATAAACTTCTATAATTGAATCGTTATAATTTTGTACTTTAATATTAGATAACCTAAATTCCTCCACTTCATCTTTCAAATAAGATAAATCCTTATTATTAAAATTATAATAATAAAAACCATTTCTATAGGAAGAAATTTTAATTGCCAAATAATTGACTCTTTCCTTTTTCATGATATATTGTTTTATATAGGGTAAAATATCATCACCATCCTTATTATTGATTAGCAATTTTTTAATAAAAATATTTTGAATACTTTTTAAGAATAATTCAAAATTGTTTACTTTAACTTGAAGAGTTAAACTTAAATATTCTAATTTTGAAGGGAGAATTTGTCCTAAATTTTGTAATATGAATGAACTACATTTGATACATTCATCATTATTACCACCTAATATTAATGATTGATAAATATTAATAGAAAGATAACTAAGATTTTGTTTAATATTATCAATTAAATTTAATATTGAATAAATAATATGACTTTCATATTCATTTAAATCAAGAAATTTGATATTTCTACAATATTTTGTAATTAATTCTAATGATTGTTGTTTGGATGATATATCATCAAGTAGATAGGACCCAAAATTTTCTAAATAAACACCAGATTTTTGTAATAATAATTCTAATGATTCATCAATTTGTGAGCTCTTATTTATAAATAAAGATTTTAATTTAAATGGTTTAGATAAATTAATAATTTGTTGAATAAACTCTATATTTATAGGGTAACAATAAATAATATGAACAGATTCTAAAACATTTAATTGTTCAAATAATTCATATAAATTAATTATACCTTTAAAATTGATAGAATATAATATTATAGTATTTAAAGTATTTGAGCAATTAGAATCTTTTGATAATAATAATGATTTATATAAAAGAAAATCATTGGTATCTATTACAATTTTTTTAAGATTTTGATGTAAATTAATTATTTGTGATATTCGATATTTAGTTAACTTATCTTCATTAATATTATCAAGATAAAAGAAACCAGGAGTTCTACAAGTATAAAGTTTTAAATATTTAATATTTTGAATGAAATTTGTATTTTGTAAAATTATTTCAAGAATATCACTAAAATATAAAGTATAATAAGTTGAGATTTCAATATCAAGAGTATATAAATTCACTTTATTTTCAATAAATATATTAATTAATGACTCATGAACTAATCTTTTAAAATCAGTTTCTAAATGTGAATAATGTGGATCATTTTTCATTATATATTGGATTCTATGTTTTAAAGTTCCAACGGAAACTTCAAACCATTTCCCAACAGAAGAAATAAATTCATGTATATTCAAATGTTTTATAAAATTAGGATAATTGAAAAGTATATTCGTAGGTAATAATTTATCAATATCATATTTATTTAATTTAATTTTTAATTCACCATTTAAATTATGTAAATAAATTCCAATAAAGTTATAATTTCCGGTAGATATTGAAAATGGGTTTTTCCATAATAATGGAATCGCTAAACGACACCATAATCTATTAACCAAAATACATGAATGTAAAGTTGAAAAATCATTCTGAAAATATTTTATAATTTCATTTGTTAATTCAGGTAATTCTCCTGAAAATATTTTTGAACATGTCATATTTTATGCGAAGAGAGAAAAAAAAGGGGGTATGACAAATTAAACTATGCCAACTGGGTAAATTATTTCATTTTTTCGGAATGATAATTCCGATGTGTCGCACAACTTGCGTTAATTAATTTTGTGTAACGTGTTTAATAATCAGACGACATACAGTACATATTTTATTATAGCGTAAGAAATAAATACATAAAATTATAAAATGTAAAATATAATGATAATAAAAAAAAATATAAATACATCCATACATCCAATAAACTAATTATGACGGGTCAAATTCACAAATTTAAAAAAATACATATATTTTTTTCTTTTTAGTAATTTGATGCATAATCATATTACAAGTTTATTTCTTAAATAAAATAACGCTATTAAATAATATTATTTGTCAGATGCTTCAGTTGAGGACATTTACGGTTAGACTCCCTTGACTCTCTTCATGCAAGGTTTGTCTGTCCATACGCGTAATCCTCCAATAAAGTTTCTTGTTGTGCTGACACGTTTTCTCCTTCAAATTTTGCTTATTTTACTGATTTAATTTCCTTTTTTGTACACTTGTCACCATTTACGCGTTTCTTTTTCTGTAATACGCTTTAAATTTTTTATTTTTTTGCAATACCGCTTCGGACTCTTCAACGGTTTTCGTTTTCCTAACCACAACTTTTTGTTAACACATTAACACATGGGATAACTTCATTTAGTTTGCCTTATTCGAAGAGTTCATCACACAAAAATCTAAATTTAAAGATATTATTAATTAATATTTAACTTTAAAACTGCATATTGAAATTATAGTGTATTCCCTCTTAAATTAATCGTGAATCTTGGAAAAAATTACAATTGTTCATTCAGAGATTATTATTAACCCATGTAGCTGCTGCTCCTTTCCATAGCTAGGCTCCAGATATTTATGACCGGGCGCCATGGTGCCACCTGAGCCAACTGCTTGGAGTTTGTAAGCTATCCCCATCTTACTTAAGATTGAAGGGAGATTTGACATTTTTGAATTAGTTTCTATCACATCTAAACATATATTGTATCACCAGTTGGCGAAGATATTTGAAAAGCTTCTGGTTTATTTGATAAAGGAGGAGTTGAACTTATACTATTTATCTTGTGTCATAGTAATCATGTTAAAGAAAATTGTCATGTATTTGAATCACTGAAAGTTTATAATTACCTTTGAAATACTGTACATCAAAAATTGATGTTCTAATTAAAAATTATCTAAATTATCTTAAGGAATACGAACCTAGTATGAAATTATCAGTTATTAAATAATAGGTTTAACGCTTTAAAAAATTACTATGATGCCAATAATAATTAGTTATAATAGGTGTTAGTTAGGTTAACATGAATGATTATAATTTAGATAAGCTGCTCTTAACAGACAATAATAAGGTTTTATTTGATAATTTTTATTTTAAATGTAATTAATACATAAAACATCAGATCTTTTATATTAAGTATTATGTAAACATATTTTATTTAAAGACTAATAATCTTTCTATTAAACTACCTGAAACACTTCAATATCATCAGCAACGAAATTTCTTGGAATATTAATATCAGGATAATTATTTGGAAGTGAACTACATTTACCATTATTATCTATCATTATATCACTACTACCATTATCATTTGATCCAAATTGTAATCTATCATTAGTACTATATATTGCATTTTGTGGATTAATAACTCTGCCAATTATGCCTGTATTAATGCTTTTATAATTGTCAAATAAAAATATAAAACTATTTGGAGTATCTGACCAGCTAAGTTTCCAATTAACTGGGTTATAACCTCCGACTATATAATTTGAATTTTGAATTTTGATAACTAAAATACTTGCTCCTTTATTATCACATTTAGAATGAAATTCTTCAACTTTCATACCATCTCTACTACCACGGTAAAGTAAATTAAATTTGTATGGATTATTTTTTATTGTAATATTTTCCTTACTAATCCAACTGGCAAATAAGGCAAAATGTCGCGAGTTAATTAAAACAGAATCAACACTTTTCAATCTAGGAGGTTGTATGTCAACATTCAACTTCTTATTTGGAACCATATGAAATTCTTGTACTTTATACACCAGCTGAGCAGATAATAATTCTTTGTATGGTAATACTTTATAAAAAAAGTCTTCGGAAGAAATATCATAAAATCTAATTAAAGGAATAAATCCATGAAGGGTTCTCTCCATCATTGTGATTTGTTCTTTGTTCCATTTAGTAACATCTTGTGAAATATTAGAATGTTGTGCTAATCCCCATTTCAATAAATTATTCCATATATCAATCTCATCCGATAATAGATCATCTCGTTTTAAAAGTAATTCTATTATAGATGCTTTTAAGCTAACAAAATTTTCAGAATTAAATAATATCTCAGGGTTTTCGCAGATATATTCAAGACAATCATTATTAAGCTCCGAAAATAATTTATGTTGATAAGTATTTTCAAGAATTTCTACAGGATTTTGTCGTAAAAAATCGTATTTATGTTTAATCAAGTGTTCCTTAATACAAATGATTAACGGTTGAATGTCAAATATTTGTACAATTGTTAAAAGTTTTAATATGTCAGAACCTTGTAATTTCGTCAAATCAATCTTTTCACAATAAATATACCTAAGGACTATTGTTAAATATTGAGGAAGAACGTCGGGTTTTCTTAAAATAATAATTCCATCTTTTTTCTTAACATTTTTCTTAGATAATTCTGCATGAAAATACTGTGACCTAGTACGTAAAATAATTGAATGGGCACGTATTACGCTATCATCATTATTTTGACCGGCATAGATGGCAACATCATGCTCCTCACCAGTTTTAAATAATTTCTCGTTTTGTTGTAAAAATTCATGTTTGTTTTTAGTAAAGTACTCTTTAATACAAGAAGTTAACGATTCAATATTAAAAACTTGTACATTATTTAAAAGTGTTAATATGTCAAGACTTTTTAATTTCTCCAAGTTGATCTTTCCACAATAAATATATCTTAAAATTATTAACAAATAACGATGAGGAATATCAGGTTTTCTCAAAATAAATTTTCCATCCTTTTTTTCAATAGTTTCTTTAGATAATTCTGCACGAAAATATTGTGACCTAGTATTTAAAATAATTGAATGTACATGCATCGCTTTAATAATTCTACTTTGACCAGCATAGATTATAACATCATATCCCTCGCCAGTTTCGAGTAAATTTTCAAGATTATTGATAACTTCTTGACAATTTTCGTATGACATTTTCCTTAAAATTCCAGAAAAGGCATTGAAAGGATCATGAGAACAAATATAGATCGACAAAATTGAGAATTTAAATAAGAAAAAATGTGACACATAGATCTGCAATGGCACGTGAATGTTTACGCTGCGGATTTTGTCGATCAAAAGTGTGGTCAAAGTACTTTTATTCGTTGTTGATTGGTAAAAATATAAGAAAATTTCCTACGATGGAATTGATCGATTTGGTAAATCACTGACTAAATTTATGCAGTTCATAGATTATAAATATTTATATTTACTGAAGAAACATTTTTTAACTTTAATGTATCTAAACGAAACATGTTTTCTAAAATATACATCCGACGTAGAAGTAATGCACAGGAAGTTCAGTAATTTAAATATTCTCTAATAAAATATTAGGAACAAGGAAAATTTACAATCAAAAAAACTGGATGTTGTTCTTCATGATTTCAACGATATTATCAGTTATAAATATTATTATATTTTTTCTTGTAAAGAAATTTGCTCGTTAATTTCTATATAAATATTATTAGGTACTCTTTCTGCTGAACAATTTTAAGAATGGAGATTTTAAGCATTATAATTTATTTAGAGTTGAAACATTTGAAAATTCTAAAATATAATCTAACTGGAATTGCTTTATCACAAAACTTTTAGTAATGTACTAGTATTGAATAATTAATGAGGTTATAAACAAACTAAATCAATAATATAAATTTCTTAATAACCAAAAATACATGCGAATAGTTATGATTGCAATTGCTTGCTAAAATTTGAAAAATTATAAACTTCCGGAATGTATACGTTGTGCCTCAGGTGTCGCTTTGCGTCAGATGTAGATTGATACCTGACGCTCGTCACTTGTCACATAAAACTAAGGTAAATTTTCCAGTCTTAATAACTTTTTTATAATTAAATAAATTTATCTATCACATTAAAAAAATATATAATCCTAAAATATTAGATTGATTAGGCTCAAATTCATGGAAAACACTTCATCAAAGTTATTTAGAAATCACCATCAAAATTATTTAGAAATCACAAGTATTTTCAAGTAAATTTTACAATATATAGTTCTAAAATCAGATAAGTATAAAATTTCATAATTTATATAATTCATTGTGATATATTATTATGATTGACAAAACCGAAATAAATAATTAGTAGTATGAGAACATAAAGAGGGTATTTAAGCCTTATGATTAGGATTGTCATTAGAAGTATAGAAGTGAATCCTAATAAAGTAATTAAAGTTTGTAAATATTCGTAAGATGATTTTATCACGCTTTTTATTAGTTCCTTCTTTAAGACGAACACTCAGATTAATTATATTAAGCAAGATAGATATCAATAATGTAGCGCCTACAGGAGTCGTTAAAATGTAGAGGTCTAACTTGACAACTTCAGAAGGTAAAAAAAAGACTACAGGTGAAAATATAATCACCAAAGCTAAGGGATTTCCAGAAAAATTAAGCCGTACGTAGTCACTAGTCGATACTTATCTTTAATGAATGGGAAACTCTATCAGAGCTTTCAGTAAATAAATGGTATAGATCATTAAAAGAGTCCTCTGTTCAAATTGAAAGAAAATATTCCTTATGAACTAAAATTTGACATTCAATAAACGACAGTATTATGCAGGATTGACTAGAATCTATATTCCTACTGCAAAAGACTTAGAACGACTACGATTGATCGTCGGTGGAGCCTTATATGCACCAATTCTCAAAATACAAAGTTATCAGCTGCTAGTAAGACTAAACGTAGAGCATAGGAATCACTATTTTTATGGCCATAAACTTCATAAAACCATCTTAAATATGTGAGCTCCGGGTTGCCCGGCCAAGTAAAAGAAAGAAGTTCTCGATGATCAATTAAAAGTACGATTACTAAAAAAAAAAATCTCTCTTGTTGAGAAGAATAAACCCAAAAAAGATTGAGATTATCGAATCAGTGAAGAAACCTTATGTGTCTTCCATGCGTGACTCAACATCGACTGCTAAAACACCCGGAATATATGTCAAGAATAAATGAAAATAAAAAAGGTTTTATCTCATCTTTTCATATTCCTGTCTAATATTTGTACGCTTCGTATGTAAGTTGTTTATTGTAAAGAAATGATAAAAATTTTGATATATACACATATATGATGAGTCGCTTTTCATAAGTTATGCTGTTTACACCTTTCCGGAATTACCTCCAAAACATGAAGCAAAAAAATATGGTAAGGTGAAACAATGTGTTAGTATATATTGACTTTTTTCTTTTTCGTGTTCTTCATTTCACTCGTTGTATATAAATAAAGTAGCATGGTTGTTTGTGGCTTTTACTGAATGTTACGCAAACTATCGTATAATCCGGCAAATTTTATTTTCGGACCTCATCTGTATACCAAGTGCTTAATATTAAAGTAGATATAAAAGTATTATAGAAAATAATAGTAATAATTACAAAAGTTATATTTTATTTATTTTTAACATAGTAAAGACAGTGACGGGCATTACAAATTTAGGAGCTGATCCCTTTACAAATGTTATACTAAGCTAGTACGCAAATCTAAGTAACAACCCGATCCTCGAGGGGATCGCCCTGCACGGTCTATTACAAAAGTTGTATAATTGATATAATTATATAAGATCGCACACATCGGGTTACACGTGATTTCGGATAATGATTTTTGGTGTATTTCGACCATCGTAACAAAATAACAATTTTCAAATAAACTCATATTATATACATATCAATTGTCAAACGTTTCTGAAAATTTAATACCACTATTCCTAATACCTTGTATTCTTATTAAAATCTTTCCAAGTTCTCGGCATAGTTCTACATACATACATATATATATATATCATTATTCATTTTTTCCAATGAGTTAAAATTAGAACAAACATTTCTAACCATAAATGCTTTTTGGCTTGTTACGTGATTCTTCTAATAATTCTTAATTAATATTTACAGTACATCAATAAAAAATTAAAAATTACATTTTTATATGTATATCTTATTATTTCCTTTATATTATCTCGGCAACGTCGGTAGCATGACACTCTTTACAGACTTTTGTTTTGTTGGCTTGAATAATCAAATAAAAAAACAAAAATTATGCCACATATCGTCATATCGTGCATCAAAATGGATGATCGACATGAGATAGTTGTATTACATTCACAATTAGTGCGAAAATTGTATCTTTCTTTTCCTTGATTTTTTTTGGATTTTACCTTTTAATGCATTATTTTGACAATCATATTATTAATCATTAACAAAATTACTACAAATTGCAAAATCCAATTAATGAATTCAAAGTTAAATATGAAATACAATTACGAAAAAAAACTTATAAATTTTTAAGTTATTTTATCGATATAATAATATTAAATTTCAAGGAAATTAACGGGATTTTAAAAATTACGGATAAAATTGTTTTACGAGGATTCTATACATTTATATTTTAATGTTATACATTGGAATATGATTACCTATTTTTAATGACAAATTATAATAATTATATATATATATATAATTACTTTTAATTTCTTATAGGATGGAAATATTAAGCGCTCAAAATTATAATTGATAAAAATAATCTAGTTTAATCCTATTTAAAAGTAAAACCATAAGTGATGTTATTTGTTGCTTCAAACCCTAAAATATAAATTATTGTCGATAATTATAATTAGGTGGTTAAATGCAGACAATTACTATATATCAATAATAATCTCAAAGTTAAATAAGTTAAATGCAGACAATTTGCAATATTGATAATTATCGTAATTTAATTAACGATATTGATAATTATCATAATTAATCATCATGAGATAAATTTTGATAAAGTGATAATTATTGATATTCATTCTCTAAAAAAAATTTTCCCCAAAAAAAATTAAAATACGATTGTCAAGATCTTAGACTAGAATCGAACTAGTCAAAGCATAGACATGCTCTCCACCAGGATAAGATTTTAAAAAAATTCTGTTTGCTTAATCTTTTAAACACATAGGAGAAAGAAAAGAAACAGAAAAAGAAGAGAAACACCTTAAAATATGGAAGAACTCTAGAGCTATGACCTCAAACACCAATCGGCAAACTCAGAGGGATGCTATGGCTGACCAGCCGGAAGACAGGGGCATATGCTATGGGTTTATCACGTTTCCAATAAACCAAGGTCGTCTACAGTCACATTATGTATATTATACTATACAATGGTCTAGAAAGTTCAACCATCTTCATTATACTGGTGACCAGATGTAAAACCTAGACATCACCAGAAATAACGGGCGTTTTTACTAATAAAACTGCAAAACAAACTCTTTTTGTACGAGAGAGATACCTCGTTATAAAAAATATATATAAAACATCATTATAAAATATTGTAAAAAACGTCATTATAAAAAAAATGAGCGAGATATTAAAAACGCGAGATATAAAAACAAGAGATATTATAAAAAAAAAATAAATATAAAAAAAATATAAAAACGTCATTATAAAACGTTGTAAAAACGTCATTTATAAAAAAAGAGAGAGATATTAAAAAACGCGAGAGATATTCTAAAAAAAAATGGAAGAGATATAAAAAAAAAATTCCAAAATGTGGTTTATTTATAGAAAAAAATGATCAGTGGGTATATACAAAATTACGTAACTATTACAAAAAGTTATTCAAAATATGAGTAACTCAGAGATTTATCGCGCAATTTATCAATATCAGTTGCGACTCTGTGACATCATGACCTATAATATATTGATCAGACCTAACACTTTTAAACGGAGATGTCTCAATAAATAATTATAGGAGTAAAATCAGTACAGTATTTATCCCATTATACACCGATGGGTTTTTTTTGTAAATTATTCCACCGGTATAAAAAAAGTATAATGCCTGTCTCTTATACACATCTAGATGTGTATAAGAGACAGATTACACCGAATACCTATTTTGTCTCTAAATAAGATTATTATTAAAAAAAAATATAAAAACGTCATTATAAAACGTTGTAAAAACGTCATTTATAAAAAAAGAGAGAGATATTAAAAAACGCGAGAGATATTCTAAAAAAAAATGGGAGAGATATTATAAAAAAAGCGAGAGATATTATAAAGAAAATACGAGATATTATAAAGAAAAATATGAGAGAGATATTAAAAAACGCGAGGGATATTATAAAAAAAATATAAAAACGCCAATATTCTCCAAGATGTTAATTTATTATATAATTCTAGCCCTTCATATCTGTCTCTTATACACATCTAGATGTGTATAAGAGACAGATACTGGTGACCAGATGTAAAACCTAGACATCACCAGAAATAACGGGCGTTTTTACTAATAAAACTGCAAAACAAACTCCTTTTGTACGAGAGAGANACAAAAAAAATACATTGAAGCTAGTTATTTCTAACTACACCTCTCCATATAAAAACTTTAGAACTCAATCTAAAGTAGAGACTAACGTAACCAGCGTGCTATTCACGAAATTCCAATATTGACTAAGTATTTACTAAAAATTGTTCTCTTTTTAATCTATCCTAAACTATACTAAATTATCTAATCTAAATACGTCTAACTATTATATTTTGTTTTTCTAATTTTCCTATTTTATCTCATTCGAGTTACCTCCATTGTCATTGTCTTCTACTTGACGAAGCAAAATTTTCAGGCGTTCCTTCATGTTGTTCTCGCTCCATCCGTAGACCATGTGTTCTTGAGGTTGTTGCATTTCTCCATTTCAGTGTTTTATTGAACTCTTCTGTATCGTCTATAAAATCATTTTCTTTTTTGATTAATAATTCTAGCCCTACTTTATATGTTTTTAACGAATCCATTACCGCTTTCATTAATTTATCCTCTGTACTAAAATATAAAATAATGTAACGTATACCGTTAACTCTAATAATTTTTCCAAATGTAGCCCTATAAGTTTTTGCAAAATATCTAATTATCGAACAATCATCCTGTTGATTATCATCTTCTAAACGTTTACAAACTTGCCAACGAAAAGTATTCTTAATCTCAGCATACGACCATCTTGAGTCAAACATTCTAACATAATGTGTACGGTTTTTCCTAGTTAAAACAACATTCACCCCGCCCTTTTTGTATATTTCTTCATATTTTTTGGTAAGGCGCAGTGTTGTTTTAACCGTCTTATATTTGTGACACCGTTTTGTTCTCATATATTCGATCTGTCCTACATTTGCATTCAGCAAATTAAAAATTTCTTCATCACTCCAGTATGCTGGTATGTCGTAGAAAGTAACATCACGTGATTGTTCAGCATAATATTTTTCCAGATCTTCTTTTCTGTTATCGTCGATCGGTCCCATTTTGATTTCACCGATCATTCCATTTTGAGTATGTTGTGCTCGTACTATTAAAAACTTGATATTCCGATAAAATTTTATTTTCAATATCGGTATAACTTTGATATAACGATATTTCCTAAAAATTTCATATAGGTTTGACTGTATAAACTTTATTCCAACCAATAATCGAAGATTAGTAAGTTATTTAACAAAATAATGTCTGAAAGTTAGATTTATTATATTTATCTCTAGAAACCGCTTCTATCTTTTTTGTACTTCGTATAATTCTTTACAATTTAATCAGTAAAAATTAATGAACTCCAGCCAACTTTTCGAACCATTCTAAAATATCGTACGAATTACTGCATGTTTCTTATCTCTTTTTGTAAGAAAGGGATACGTGTACGTCGAAACGGTAAATTTCGAACGGTAAGTTTCGCATTGCAAAACTTATTTTTTTCTATTTTTTTTTTTTATAAGAAACATTATTCGTTTCTCTCTTTTGTAGGTCAAATGATTTTTTATTATTTTTTTTTAAGAAACGCATTTAGTTTCGGTAAGTTTTTAGTTGCGAAACTTTATATTTTGGTTTTTTTATTAATAGAAACGTTTTTAACGTCTCATTTATTATTTTTTTTGTAGGTATCGATTATAAACGTTAGAGTTTTGAAACGGGTAAGTTTCGTTACGAAATTTATGAAACTTACCCTTTTTTTTTTTGTTTTTTAAATGAAAGACATTTCTTCAAAGAACGATAAATTTGGTATTTGATTTTTTTTTTAATTTACATCACAATCAGATGAATAACCGAATTGGACATCAAAATCTTGAATATAAACAAGTTATTTTAAACAATCTAATCATGAAAATTGGCCGGTACTATAGCATTTGGCCGTTACCGTCTACGAAGTGACATTATCTGTCACATGATTAATTCTTTACATCATCAACCATCTTTTGTTATCATTTAGCAATACTAGCAATATATTTCGTAAGTAGCTCTGGTAAATATTAGAATTTATACCTTCAAATTTTGAAGATGTACTTTGTTACATACGTAGCAAATATCGGTGGATATCTCCAATTATATATTTAAAATATATATTTACATTTTAATAAACAAACCAACTTATTTTATATACTCATACCGGTGAATTATTTATAGAAATGGCGATTTGGGCGTGTTTAACCAGAGGGAATAAGAAAGTGTCCCGAGATTATCATAGTAAATCAATGAAAAAAAGACGTAGATACCCTCGCGAGAGTTACTAAAAACGAAAAAATTTTTATTTAAACCATGAAAAGTTAGTAATAATTACATTTTAAGCTTTCTAATATTAAAATTTTCTCTTCAGAATTTGAAATACTTCATAATCATCAATTTTAAAATTCCTTGGTATGTTAATATCAGGATATGAGAACTCCATTCACCATTTGGAGTCATCATAATATCATTACTATAATTATTAATTTTACCAAATAGTGGACCCCATTTCTGAATACATTTTATAGCACATTGGTGTTTCAATCACGCTTCCAATTTTACCAGTATTAATATCTTTATAATCATCAAATAAAAATATAAAACTATTCAACGTATTTTTAAATCATTACTATCCCATCCTAATGGATTATAACCTCCAATACATTTATTATGAAATGATTCACCATCAAATCCATCCCTACTTCCACGTAAAATAAGTTTGAATTCATACTGAAGAAAATTTCTAGTCTTGTAAATAATATTATCTTTATACTTAGTATCCAATTCAAAAAAAAGTAAAGGATAAAGATCTTTTTGTGCAGGTATAATAGAAGAATCAAGTTCGAATGATTTCGCATTTGAAATTTGTAAAAAATCCGACATTAAATTTTTTGATAATAATTTTCATAAGGACGTATTTTATTAATATGATCTTCAGCAGAAATGTTATGAATTTAATTAATTTACTTGTTGTTTCTTTCATTATTTTAATATCCTCTTCGGTCCATTTTAGAGGATCACGTTCAATAGTATGATTTTGTGCGTGAGCCCACTTAATCAAGTAATTCCAATATATCAATTCCATCTAATGCAGGTTCATCTTGTTGTAATAAAAAGTTCGCTGGTAAGGTCAAAAAATTTTCACCTTTTGTTTCTTGACAAATTAATTTTAAACAAAAATCTTTTAATAGTATAAGTTGTTCAAATAAAAAAACTATTTGAAGTATTCCAATTGGATCACTTTTAATAATTCTTTTTGATGATTATTAGGTATAATTGAAGATTTTCAATTATCTTATCAAATCAAAGCTCATCTGCCGCTTTTAATAATTCTAAATATTTTGTTTGTTCGATTTGACTAAAATTTATCGTTCCACTATAAATGTAACTTTTAAAAAAAGGCAAGTTAATTTAATAAAAAGATGAATATAAACTTGAGTCAGTTTTATTGTTATTGTATGTAAATATAGTTACTGTACCTATGAATAATTTGGAATATGTTTCCCGTAATATTTGGTTTTTTTAAAATATACATTCCATCCTTTTTTTCTGCCCAATTAGAAGTGAACGCCGTACGAAAATATTGTGATCGACATCGTAAAATTATTGAATGAGCATGAAGTTCTTCAACATTAGGTTCTTCCCTGCATAAATTATAACGTTATAATCTTCCTCAAAAAATTGTTGAAATCGCTAGTAATATTTTCTTTATAATTTTCTATCATGGATTTAAATTAAAATGAGAAAATCTAATTTATATATCGATTTAAAAGAACAAATCTAATTAAAAAAAAAAAAAATAATAAAAGATAATGAATTGTGTTACACTTATTTTTTTTGTTGATTAATTGAGTTCTCAGATAAGGAAATTCAATTATAAACTTAAAATACGTAATGATATGCGATATTAAAACTTTGTCAATTTTTAAGAATAAAAAAAAATAATAATAATAATAAATAAGATGGCTTATCCCCGTACATTTTTCACCAGTTGCTGTGTAAAAAATACAACCGAATTTTTGTGCAACATTGAACAATTGTATCGTAATACAAATTATTCTATTTAAACAATTATTAATAAATAAAAAATCATTATATTAATATTGATTATATTAAGAAAATCATAGAAATCTAACGAATTTTCTTTTTTAAATATTTACAAATAAAATTTTATTGGTGTAAGACCTAAGCCCGTAGTAAACTACGTTGCCACCTTATTAGTAATATAAATAAATACAATAATAGTATGCTTGGATCAACCTAATTAAATATTTCTAAAATAAAATATCAAAATTAAAATTCTAAAATTCGTAACTCTTTTTCATTGACCCTTTTTATATCACTACATATCCTTTGTGTAACATCACATTCTGTTGATTTCTTAAATGAATCTGTCACTTTGTAGATCATTTCCTGTAACTTCATAATAAATCCCATTATTGTAACATTCCTATTAATATGCTGACATATTCATAATATCACCTTTGATATATTTTTCAAAATACCCCATTTTTCTAGTTTAACGTTCTCGGACATTAACCTCTGTAATATTCCCATAGTTTAAGGTCATTTCGGACCTAACATTTGTAAGTTGTAACGTAATTAAAAATCATTAAAAATTTATGTACTAATTCTAAATATAATAAAATGCGCCCCAAAATTCACTAGGTAAGTTCCGGCATTACATTGGTGAATTTACATTTGCTACGTTTCAAATTGGCTGAAGCTTTTTCCATAATAGGAAAATACATTTGATGATAATTGTCACGTGAATTGAAGCTGATTGACGTATTGCTTATAATTATTGATAATTAAATTACTTATCTATCGTCTGTAGTTTAGCACATCTGCTGGTACTTTTCAAGAACAAAAATTGTTTTACGAAATCATCAAAGATCTGGTACCAAACTGGATAGATTTTCTAATAAAACAAGATAAATTTATTCACAATGAATTAATTTTCACGATCAAAGATACAATTTTAGAGATCAAATTGGTTGTGAACGTGTCGTTGCAATTGCAGGTTCTAAAATTACTTAATATACCGATCGTTAATTGTCGAAAATATATTTATAGTAATAAATAATTTTAATTTATATATGCAATCATTACAACAATATCGATGATAAAAAAATAATTTTTTTCATGTTAAATAATTTTTTCATGTTAACAAATTATTTTGTGAGGAATGCTTTGGAGATTTTGAATTATTATTAATAATCCAATTTTGTGTGTTTAATTAAACCATTGTCAGTTATATAGTACTAGCAAGTAAATCCAAATCTGGAAACTTTTTTTTTTACCTCCCACAAATCTTGATCTGCCAAAGTTAATATTCATTGTAATTTATCATTTAAAGCTTCTAAAATTATTATATTCTACTTAGGTAAATAAGTTTGAAACTGGTTGATTTTTCTTTTATTTTTTTTTATAGTAATTATATAATAAATATTTTAGGTTATTTTTCTTTTTAACAGTATATAAATTTACTTCATTAAAATTCGGTATTTTTTTCATAATAAGTATTACTGATATTTACTTTATTGAAAAAACCAATCCTTAATTAATCTACTATGTCAATTAATATAGGAACGGACATAATTTAAGTTGTCATTCATAAAATTAAAAATCCTTATTTCTAAATAAAAGATGTCACATCAAATTAGTTTTTTAATTGTTAAAACATCCGGTTTTGAATTTTGATTAAATACTTATAAATCTATCAAACCTATTATAATACTAGAATTAACACGCTCTCTACTTGTATGAATCTCTGCTGAAAATTCCAAATGAAATTAATAACAATAGCTCAATAGCATGATATTACAAACTCCAATGAAAACTGCTTCTTTATAATCATTGTATTTCACTGGGGCTATGGTTCACTGTAAACATGTTCTTGTTTATAATAATCACTTTGTTTTTTTGAATCCATCTACTAATTGATATCAGAGATCACATTAAAAATCTCCTTTGTACTTTGCAAGTTATTTCTTGTATACTCATTATAATTTATTTAAACTAGACATGTCATTTTCACCATGTAATATTGATATTGTTTATTGTTTATGCTATGCCA